TTTGTTTTATTCTTTTTCTATTATCATTTTATTACAAATATGGCTCTATTGTGTTCCGTTTTTCGCTGTGTTTAATTACAGACAAGCAAACAAACAATATCAGAGTTTTAGTAGTATATAGATAATGTGTAATTCCAGAAGCGTCGCTAGAAACTGGCACACGGGGCTCGTGCCCCGATTCTATTTGACGGTCCCCCAAATCTCCAGTTGCTCTCTTGAAAAATCAGAATTTGAAAACCATGATCGATATCATAGTGAAACGCCGAAAATCTCCGTGCCTATGGGCCTGAGCCCCGAGTCTTTTAAGCACCTAGCGGCACCTCTGTGTAATCCTAAAAGCCTCACAGGTATCATTATTGATATTGTATAAGTGTTAGTTGCCGATAAAGTATTGAGTGAAATCATGTGTTACCTTCCACAAATGTTAATAATGAACCACGAGGTTTCGCGGGTGAAAGACACCATTATTGAGTTCCTAGGAGAGGTAGCAGTAAATGAACAGAATTTGAAAAATGTTCGATAAATAACGACCAATCAAAAATTATTTTAACTTGAACATAATTAGTGTACTACTTTGACCCCAGTGTCACCAATGATCATTAACGGCCTTTTAAAAAGCTAATAGTAAATGTTTTACTTGATAAAACGATAGCTACATTACACATGGGTTTCAATACATCCTTTTCTACTTTGTTCCGCAGAGATTGTATTAATATTTTAAGAGAAAAGCTTATGTGATTCGTCAAAATTTCTACTAGATGAACAAAAGAATATAACTGCATTAATATGTTTTTAAAAATATTTGCACCAGTAGAAGTATAGTGTAGTTGAACACGTGACCAGCATAAAACATTTCTGTTCGCAAGCTAATCAATTGTTTTCTACTAACTCTATCTTGTAACATTAAAAAAGAACAAGAAGATTTATAGTTTCTGACAGACAAACGAGAAGTCGACCGTAGAGAAACAGTGGTCGATAAACCTTTAATCAGACTTAGCGATTTTCTTTTGATTTTTTTAAGTTTTAGCTTGCTAGATTATTAACTTTTGTTATTATAATTAGACCAGACATCATTTGAAGTTTGTACATCGAATAAGAAGGACTTTTGCTTTGGTTCAATTGAATCTGAGACTTTATATTATATATTATTAGATAAATATCAATATCCTAACACCAATTAATATAAAACTTGAAGTTGTAAGTTTATCTGTTGAATATTCTCAATAAAATGGCGCATATTTAATAAATCCGCATTCAGTATATAAACAAAGATTTCTTAGTTACAGATAAATATTAGAAACTATGAAAAAAATTCAATTTCTCTGTGTATGTTAATACTTGTAACTGTACCAGATTAACACGAACTATTCTAAATAATTTTCTCGCTATAAACAACTAGATGGACTCCCAACTCTTGAGCTTGGTTTAATGCACCTCTCTTGGTTTAAACAAGATGGGTTTCCAACTCTTGAGCTTGGTTTAAACAAGATGGGTTTCCAACTCTTGAGCTTGGTTTAATACACATCTTTTGGTTTAAACACGTCATAATTGACAAAGACTAGCCAACTTCAACCGTTATTTATATTTTGAATGAACTTATAGCCTTACAATAAACTTTAGCACGGCATTGCTAACAACATAGGAACTATTTCCGTTCTCTAGAGCATTTCTCCGTCAAGCATGATGGAACACAATTAATAAATCAGTTATAATCTTGCGAAAGTTAATGACATTTAGATCTTAAGTATGTTATAGTATTTGATTACCAAACCTAAAATACTCAACACCTGATAAGAATAGATTTCAACAGGTAAACAGAAGTAGACTAATCATTACCCATTACCCACTAAAATCAGGGGTTCGATTCCCCTCGGTGAACACAGCAGATAGTCCAATGTGGCTTTGCTATAACAAAAACACACACACACTCATTGTTGGAAGTTGCCAACTATTTTTGAAATCAACTGCATGTTGCGGGTGGATATCAGTTTTCAAATAAATAACAGTCATTATTCGACTAAACTGCATCTTACAGATGGATAACTGAAAGTTGGGGCTCATGTTCTGTATCTTGTGGCGGTGGACATCAGACTCGTCTAGTTTATTGCGCCAGAGGAGGGCCTAATGGTACTAGAGCACGCATTAGCGACTTCCTGTGTTCAAAAAAGAAACCAGTTGGCCATCGACGCTGTAACACCCAAAGCTGTCCACGTTGGATCGAGGATCCATGGTCAGGGGTAATTATAACTTTTTTCTTCAAGACAAAAATAAATAGTGACTGGTCCACTGCTTGATGTTCTAATATAAGTAATTTGCAGTTACGGGTTGGGTCCTCTATGTAAATTATACAAAAAAAAATGCATTGATCACGGAAAGATTAAATGGTTCAAATTCTTTATATCTTCCGTGAAATACTTTAAGATAAAACATTTATGTGATTTTATAGTTTATGTGCGTGCATGCTATTCTTTTTTCTGAACACTTTCAAAGTAGAATCTCATTTGGGGGGGGGGGCTTCTATTGTAAACTTCTTCTAAAAAAACTTAAAGTGTTCCGGTAAAATGGTTTAATTATGGGTTCGAAAGTAAAAACTAACTTCTAAAGATGGAGGAATTTGTGGTAAACTTATTGGAAAAGGACCATTAAGTACGTAATGTGTGTGTGAATCGCAACGACATAGCAAAGTTTACTTGTTTGGCTTTTTTTTAACAGTGTTCGGTGACATGTGGTCATGGTGTACAAACAAGAAACGTAGTTTGCAGAGACCACAGCGGGCACGTCAGCAAAGAATGTGACTATCGACTGATGCCTGCTACTGAACAAGACTGCAGCAGTGGGATTAGTTGTCCTATCAGTGAACAGTCTGGTAAGTGGCTATTAAATTTGATGTTCCTTACCTGGCCTTTTAGCCCATGTTTTGCACAAGTTGTCGATCACATTGAAAATACCAAATTTCAAATGATTACTCTGTTCATTACTTAACGATTAATTTACTTGATTTTGATGTGCCTATTTAATTCTTTGTGTAACTTAACTACAGTAATACAGTAATGTTTATCTTATTATTTAAGATATAATTTATTATATTTAGATCATTCCTACAGTGTCTTTGTAACGTCATAATGATATTGTTAAAATTTTACACTATCTTTAGTATACGTTTTGAATGTCTTAGAATCCAATTAATTATAGATATACGTATTTGGCCAGGCCTTTTCCTTAGCTATATCTTAGGATTAGAGAGCAAAACAAAATCATTTCACACAATCTGAAGCTCTCTGGTGGATCAGCGATATGTCTGGGGCTTATAACGTTAAAAATCGGATTTTTATACCCGCTGTGGGTACGGCACAAGTAGCCCATTGTGCTTAATAACAAAATCATGTTTAAGCTATTTACAGGATTATTGTCAACTACATGTAAAACAATAGTTTGCAAGGTATGACGCAAAAACAAACGCACCTCATGACGTTAGTGGTTTACTGGCTTCTCAGTTATCGCCATACTAAGTAAGGAATAGCCGCCCCTAATTAGGGATTACTGACCAGAGGTAAAGCAGTTTATTCACAAGCAGCAGCACACGGCTCCTAGATAACTATTATTAACTGAATAGTTGGATTAACTTCCGCAGTTATAATGCCTTCACAACTGAAAATGCCGAGCGTTTTGAGCGGCATATTACAGCCTGGGTCTTGAACCGTATATTTTGCAGCCCAGCACGTAATCACTGGCAGAGGCGTCAGAACCGGAGGTGCTAGGGGTGCTATAGTACCTCCGCTTTTGCATACTTGACTTATATAGCAAATGTAAATTATATTACGATATCAATTTTCTGGGGGGGGGGGGCATGACCCCCCCAATCCTACTAAATTGAGATGCCTTTGGCAGCACTGCAGCTACTTTTAGCAGCTCCTTATACTCTCAGTTTCTCATTGTGAAATCTGCATGTCTACTCAAGTACCCCCACTTTGCAACCCCCTTCCTACCCTACTTACTGGGCACACACGACCCTGTGAAATATGCTATAAATACTAAACGTTTTTGTTAAAAGAAGAATAAAAACTGAACGTGTTACGCTAATATGCACAATAGTATGATCATTATCAGGAACAGTTACTACACTCAAAAAATACATTAATAATAAATACATAGTACAGTTTGTGGATTCATGGACCACACAAAGCTGTTAGTGAAAATTCCTTTTATTTCTACTTGTTAAAGGTTGTATATAAACCATGTTGTAGATATATTTGTAGTGAAATAAACGAGCGGTAATCATAATAATCAGTGTGTTTGGTTAAAGAGCATAAATATTGTACTTATATTTGTTCTACTTTTACTGTTATATTGAATTTTGTTTTTTATACGACAAACTATTTCATATATAATTTTATGGTCATTCAAAACATTCTGTAGACTAAATTATTTTCGGTGCATGTACATTATCTGTCGGTTTTGTAAGCATTCGTGCTGTTTACAGGGTATAAAGGAAAGAACACTTACTAGCTGTACTCCTAGGAAACCGACCAGAACTTTCAACCAACCGTACTTTATAACTGTTCTCTGTAGCAACGTACCAGCTAAGGTTGTCATTAACAAAAGGCAATGAAAGCGTAAAATCGGTTTGAGCCTCATTTGATTTTTGCTGTTGTCCTTATTATACTGGATTAGAGCTTGTGGTATGGTATTCACAGAATAATAAACCAGTTACAGTCTTTGCATCACGTCTGTTTTACAAGCAACGTATTGTGAGGGCGTTACTGACTGTTTAGTGGAAGCGAGCTTAACTTTCATTAATATGATGACATGTGGCTTTAATACATCAAATGCCGCAATAGCTCTTAAGGCTATGCCCTAAACCTACTGTCTCTCGTTATGGTTACACGCTAGAGGAGTTTTTAGCAAAGGCTCTCCTCACTTCAATTGAGCAGCTTCTCTAGTTCGGGGCATTGTTTTCATTGCAAAATTAATGGTTGAATAAACGTATTCAAGAAAAATGAAGGAACTGTCAATTGAGTTAATTTTGACCATGTTTCCACATGAACAATATAGTGTCTATGCACCACAAGCACGAGATAATAGTATCTGCTGTTCTCTGACAAAGTTCGAACGTGAAAATAACAACAAAGGCATGTGAGATCTATGGTGTTTTCCATGTGGTCACAATCTCTGTGACTGATGGCAATCGCTGACGAATCGATGCCTTTGCCTGTTACGTTTTAACGGTTTAACTAGTAATTTTAATGCACCCTAATTATTTAGTAACATTTAGTTAGCTCTAAGGTTTTACATTATAAAAAAGTTAAGTTCGTCACGATGAGATAATTACTTATAATCACAAAATGTAGTTCATTTTTCTTTGTGATGTCTACCCCTTAGGGTTATATAAAACGTGCAAAAAGAATCAATACGAGTTAAGTCCAATAGCTCATTGCAATTCTCGTGTAAAAAAAAGAGCTTAGATTAAAAGAACATAAAGATATCATGCTTTAATAAAGTTTGCCTTTAATTTTCTTGAGATATGCTACAACAAGAAATCAAAGTTTACAATCAATCGAAGAACCTTTAAAAATAAATCTTTCAATCTAGTGCTATAAGACGTAATAATTCTCCTGTCACAAAATCTTTTCGAATCCCATTCTTCCTCCAGCTTTTCGATGCTCAGATATCAAAGTGATATCTATAAATGCCTTGATTTTTGTCTTTTTTTCAACTTCGAAGCATAACTGTAAATAACTTTAAGCTGTTAGTTACACATTCAGAATGTCTGATAAATATACTGTTGAGAACGCGCTTTTCTTTCTAAAATCTCTCGTGAATAACTTCACTCGTGTGATGTTTTTAATGGAGAAGATCAATATTTTAACTTGTTTTTAAGCAGATTACTCAGCTTTTGCCATATTCTTACTTTCCACCTTCTAACACTATACGCGAAATGCTTAAAATATACTATTTTCCACAACTTGAGAAAGAATTCTTTATTTCTTTAACAACAGCGGGTGAAAATCTTATATAACATGTAAACACAATGATACCTTTACGATTTTATTGTTATTATAATGACCATCTGCAACATCTAGATAATTATCAGTAGAAATAGACTCATTAAAATCATATTACTTAATCTAAAGAGAAAGTTTCACCATACCATTACATTCAAAACTACGTTACAAAATAATTCACTATTGGTGTACAAAAAAAAAGATGCTCAAGTTGTCTTCCCCTACTCTGGGAAATAGTGAAAATGTTCCTGTTTTTTGCCTTTTCTTTTGCTTAAGCTGCAGTATTAATCGATTACTACCTGAGTTATCTTATTTACCACGTGGTTTAATCTTGTTACATTCCAGTTAAGTTTAACACATCAATTAAAAATACAACAACAACGTAGCTGTCGTTTTGAGATGTTCGACTTTCAAAGAACAATTGGTTGAACAGGTTTAGATAATTAATTTTAATAGAACAGAGTGGCCTTGTTTGCTAATGCTACAGTATTGATGTAATTGCTACAGTGAAATATATTGATAAGGTCGCTTCTCTGCAAAATATCTTCTTTCGCTAGTGAAAACATATTGGTAGAGGGAGATTTTTCCGCTCATTCAGTTCTTTTGACAATGCCAATTCTATTCATTTTTGATGGGTTAAAATTTCTTAATGCGTTTATTCGCGTTGAAAAGTTGTATTATCTATTGTATAGTCTCAACTTTGCTACTACTTACGTCACTTTTGACGAAGCTGTCCCGGAAAGGGTTCTTTGATTAGTAATTAAACCAACAGTGGAATATTTATTATTCAAGAGGAGTTTCTTTAGTGCGTGTTTCGTTTTTGTGTGTCTATTTAGTTTTGTTTTTTCACTCTGAACCCGTAAACTTGTATAGTTGAGCTAAGCCAAAAGCTGAAGTTAGTTACGATCTTGTCAGAATAGGTAAATTCCATTCAAGTTTAAAACCAAAGCTAATCGCGAGCTTGTCTGAACAAGTAAACTCCTTTCACCTTCCCGTCACTGAACGTGCTCGCCCTTTCAGCCGTGGGGGCGTTATAATGTTACGGTCAATCCCAATAGTCGTTGGTAAAAGAGTAGCCCATGAGCTGACGGTGGATGTTGTTGACTAGCTGCTTTCCCTCTGGTCTATCACTGTTAAATTAGGGACGGCTAGCGCAGATAGCCCTCCTATAGCTTTGCGCGAAATTCAAACCAAACAAAACCTTTCACGAACTTGTTTGAACACGTAAACTCCTTGTAGGTAAACTTGAACAGATCAACTCCTTTCGCCTTATGTAGCTTAAAGCCAAAGCTAATTACGATCTAGTCTGAACAGGTTAACTCCATTCACTCTATGTAGCTTAAAGCCAAAACTAGTCACGATCTACACTGAACAGGTTAACTCATTTCACTCTATGTAGCTTAAAGCCAAAACTAGTCACTAGCTTTGGCTTTAAGCTACATACAGTGAAATGAGTTAACCTGTTCAGACTAGATCGTAATTAGCTTTGGCTTTAAGCTACATACAGTGAAATGAGTTAACCTGTTCAGACTAGATCGTGACTAGTTTTGGCTTTAAGCTACATAGAGTGAATGGAGTTAACCTGTTCAGACTAGATCGTAATTAGCTTTGGCTTTAAGCTACATACAGTGAATGGAGTTAACCTGTTCAGACTAGATTGTCACGATCTAGTATGAACAGGTTAACTCCATTCACTCTATGTAGCTTAAAGCCAAAACTAGTCACGATCTGGTCTGAACAGGTTAACTCATTTCACTGTATGTAGCTTAAAGCCAAAGCTAATTACGATCTAGTATGAACAGGTTAACTCCATTCACTTGATTTAAGCCTAAAGCCAAAGCTAGTCACGATCTAGTATGAACAGGTTAACTCCATTCACTTGATTTAAGCCTAAAGCCAAAGCTAGTCACGATTTAGTATGAACAGGTTAACTCCATTCACTTGATTTAAGCCTAAAGCCAAAACTAGTCACGATCTAGTATGAACAGGTTAACTCCATTCACTTGATTTAAGCCTAAAGCCAAAACTAGTCACGATCTAGTATGAATAGATTAACTCCTTTCACTTGATTTAAGCCTAAAGTCAAAGACAGTTATGATATTGTCTGAATAGATGAATTTTGTTTATTTTTTTAGACTTAAAGTAAACCTAGTCACGATCTTGCCTAAGCAATACACAAACACACACAAATATGTATATTACAAGATACAATTGTTATTCGAAGCATAAAGGTTTATAGACATGGGCATCCGCAGAGATTTTTCCGGGGGGGGGGGGGAGAAGAAGTAGTGTGGAAATGTGAATTGAATAAATAATTCATATACATATGTTGAATGAATTAAGAAAGAATTAAGCTTCTCATTTTCCAGAGGGGGCAAGTCTATCCCCTGCTCATAGAACGGCTTCGAGTTGGTTTTTTTCAAGTACAAACTTTTAACTCATAACATCGTCGTCTCTTGACCTAATTGAGATCTAATTACAATTTTGGACTCAGTAGGTCAAACCCTTTCGATTGGTATATTCTACCTCGCCCAAAGTCTCATAGATTAATTTACTCTAATCCTGTTTAAAATAATTTCCATTTGAGGGTAGGCTGGAAGAGTTCCTGACGAGTAATAAAATTGAATCGGTTATTCGCGCGCCCCGCGCTTCTTATTGCTGGCGCGCATAAATATAGCTAATAAAAAAGGAATAAAGGTCTCGTAGATTATTTTACTCTAATCCTGCCTAAAAGAATTTCAAGTGCCGCGGCCTTTGAGGATACCCTCTTGTTTCTGTCTGTCATTACCCTCAGGAGACACTTTTTACTACCTTTTTCTCATTTGAAACTGTATTTTAATGTTCCAAGGTAAGTATAATTTACGTTTTTAGGAGAAGCCACCTGTGTTAAGTATGATACAGATACGTATGTTAAGGAACTATATGAATAGTTTTCTTTCTTTTTTTAATGTAATAGTGATAGTTTCTGAAAAGACGTAAATGTTATAGACAAAAAAAATCGCAGCTGCTATGCGTTGTCCAATTACTAGATGTTTCAAGAAACATTTGAAAGCATAAAACTTCTGATAGATCCAAAAGTAATGAAGAAGAGTTGAGAAAACATTCATTAACATAATATTTGTATTGTTTAGATCTCTCACGAAAATGTTTTACGGAATGAAAAATAAACGAAACTTGACGAAAAAAAAAAGAATGAGGTTGTTTATTATAACTTTCAATTGAAGAAAGTTTTCAGTGCATCATGAAGTTTTTTTTTACAAGAAAACTTTAAATTTCTGTAAATGTTTTAGACTTTACCACAAATCATAGATTAGACAGAGATCGTTTGTTTGTTTACTAACACAATAACAGGATTTGTATTGAATTTCGTGCAAAGCTACTCGAGGGCTATCTGCGCTAGCCGTCCCTAATTTAGCAGTGAAAGACTAGAAGGAAGGCAGCTAGTTATCATCACCCACCGCCAATTCATGGGCTACTCTTTTACCAACGAATAGTGGGATTGACCGTCACATTATAACGACCCCACGGCTGAAAGAGCGAGCATGTTTGGTGGGACGGGGATTCGAACCCGCGACCCTCAGATTGCGAGTCAAGCGCCCTAATTACCCGGTCATACCGGGTCGATTTTCTATTAATAGTCAGAATATAGGGATCTTTATAAACGTGTGATAAAAGAAACCAGAAATTATACTACATCCATATTTCTGTTTACAGTGCCAAAGATTCACGCCCAAGAAGACGCTCCTCCGGAACACTTCTATCCTCTACTGTGGACCCAGCAAAGTGTTGGTCCAGCGGAACTTTCTGGAGATCCATGGTATATTTAAACTTACTTAATGATAACTCTATCATACATTCATTAATTCTGTTAATTCTTTATTATCCTAATTAATTTAATTGGATATACCTTAATAATATGAAAAGTGTTGCTCTCAAAAAAATTGTTTTTCAGACAAGTACATTTCAATAGATCGATTTCTCTTTAATCTAAAATAATTCGTACAATAACATACGTGACTAAAGTTTACGTTCCTGTACTCCACTTTTATTTCACGTGGAAATCTTAACTTAGCGAAAAGTAAACTTTTCAATGTTTCTAGGTTTGAAGTAAGTGATTGGGAACCTTGTAGCGTAACTTGCGGTGAAGGTACTAGACGTCGAATTGTTGAGTGCAAGATCTTTCTCGAATTCTCACGTTCGGTGGCAACTTTACCAGACAGAGAATGTCCAGGTGTGTGTAAGGAAGCACGTTATTATCAAGCTAGGCTTAGTTTTTCATTTCATTATATCGGTTTTGCCTTGATCTCTTCTAAATGATGAGATAGAATTCTGTTTAGCTATTGTCAAATATTGTGCAGTAGATTTCCTTCTCAAAAATACACGTAGAAGGATTCTTTTGGTAACACAGACCTGCGAATTTAAACTTCATAAAAGTTGTTTTGATTTTAATAACTGATTTTCCATAATTCAACTACACAGATTTTGAAAATAATATACATTTTTTTTTCTGTCACGTAAGGATGTTTTACAAATCGTGAAGGAAAAAAAAACTCTTAGCTAAATCAAATTATTATTTTGTTTACCACAATGAACATTTGTTTTTATTGCGTTTGTTAACAAAAATACAAACAAACTAAAGAGAAGGGAAGAACATTGATGTCAAACGAATATGCATCCTCATTCATCCTGATTTTTTTTTTAAATCTACGTCTTTTAGTCTCCAAACTATGTGTTGTGGTATTTCTTT